TCCAGGGGTGGTTTCCTCACTGTCTTTTCCAACCCAGCCTCACTGGCCTTGTAGATAGCACAGTTTTTGTCGAGATACTTGCAATAGATTAAATGCCAATTTTAATTTGTGGAGTTACGTGATTTCAATTTTTCCCGTTTCTTCATATATATTTTATTTGAGTTTAGAAAAGACAAGAGATCGATTGAATATATTTTCTAAAGTCATATTAGATGAATTCATGGATTTTCATCATTTTTAGTTAGAAAGGAGATTGGGATAACACAACTGTCCAGATGTGTGCAGCAGTCTGGGGACAGTAATGTTAGAGATGAGAAGTCAACTGGGCTAACAAGGAATTTTACAATGGTTATTACCATCATAAAATTTTCTAGGAGAGGTACAAGGGTTTATTTTTGTTTTAAATGGATCAATTTTTTGTGGTGGTAAAGTATACATAATACTTTATTACAACAAGAATATACTGTGTATTTCAAAAAGCTAGAAGAAAGGATTTTGAAAGTTTCTCCCACAAAGAAATGAAAGATGTTTGAGGCCATAAATATGTTTAACCTGATTCAAACATTGTGCAATATATACGAGTATCGAAGCATAACATGGTATACTACTAATATGTACAGCTTTGTTTTTATGCAATAGGCTAAAATAAATAATATTTTATCATTTTCATCATTTTAAGTGTATACTTCGGTGCCATTACCTACATTCCCAATGTTGTTCCACCATCACCAATATCTATACCCAAACCTCTTGCATCATAGTTTCTCATTACCCCACCCAGCCCTTAATAATCTCTATTCTGCTTTTTATCTCTTTGAATTTTCCTATTCCAGGTACCTCACATAAATGGACTCATTCAAAACTTGTCCTTCTGTGTTTGGTTTATTTCACTAAGCATAAGGCTACACCCATGTGGTAGCATATACCATGTTGTAATATATCAAATTTTCATTTTTGTGGCTGAATGGTCTAGATTCCATTCTACATTTCATATTCTGTTATCCATTCACCTGATGATGGCCACCAAGTTGTTTCCACCTTTGAGCTATTGTGAATAAAACTATGAACACAGGCGTACAATGTCTGTTCAAGTCCCTGCTCTCAATTTTTTAGCGTATGTACTTAGTAGTGGAATTTCTGGGTCATATAGTAATGTTTAACATTGTGGGGAATCACCAATTTTTTTTCCATAGCAGCTGTGCCACACCAGCAACCCACAAATCGTTCCAATTTCACATTGCACCAGTACTTGTTATTTTCTGTTTTTACATAATTACAGCCATCCTAGTAGGTGTGCAGTGCTATCTCATTGTGGTGAGATGGAGTTTTGATTAGACTATTGTCAAAGTCTTAGGACTAGTGTAATTTCTTCTAGTAGATGGGGAGATTCTCATGACACCAGCTTTGGAGCAAAGCACACACTCAGGAGACAGAGTCAAGTCTTAAAGTGTCAGAGGAGAGTGAATGGTGTATGGGTGGGGAGGCTACAGGTGTGGTATCCTCTGGATTAGCTAAGCCTAGATACACTTTATGGGCCACATACCATGGCAGCCTAAGAATCCTGCATCTATGTGATGAGATGGATCAGTCCCTAACAAACTGGCTGAAAGCTGCCTCCTGCTTCACACCCCCCACACAGCTCCAAAGAGTCTCTTCTTGGGGCCTCCAAATACAGAGCACAGAGGAATTGTGCATATAATCAGTGATTACAAGCCTAAGAGGCTAAGATGAATCATTGTGTTTGTCAGTTTTTCATCACTGTGACCAAAATACCTGATAGGAACAACTTAGAGGAGGAGAAGTTTATTTTAAACTCCCAGGTTCAAAGAGTTCAATTCATAATCGACTGATTCCATTGCTTTAGAATCCAGGTGAGACCCAGCATCGTACCAGAAAGGCATGATAGAGGAAAACTGCTCACTTCGTGATTGCCAGAAAGAAGAGAGAGTGAGTGAGTTACCAGGGATGAAATATAAACCCTAAAGAAATATGCCAGCGACATACCTCCTCTGCCTACACCTTACTTGCTACAGTTACCGCCCGTTAGGTCCATCACATTATTTATTCATCAAATGGATTAACCCACGGATTCGTTACAGCTCTCATAATCTAATCATTTCAGCCACTGCATTAACACAGGAGCTTTTGGGGACACCTCATACCCAAACCAAACATTTCAACCTTGGCCCCCAGAAGCGCATATCTCTTTCACAATGCAATATGGGACCGACGCAAGACTGACACCCAGCTGGGCAAACAAGTCTTGTAGCTCCATGTTCAGCATCTGGGGTAGACAGCTGAGATGCTCCCTCCAAAGGGCTTGCCCCTGTGGCCTTGCAGGTTGCGGTCCACATGGCCTTTCTCTTCTTCTTGGCTGCCATGAGGTGAACAGCTTCCCTCCACCATGCCATTTTGCCACTATGTTCTGCCTCACCTCAGGTCCAGAGCCACGAAGCCAGCTGACCTTGGACTGAATCTCTGAAAACCATGAGCCAAAATACACTTCTAGGTTCTTCTAGTCAGGTATTTGGTCATAGTGACAAAAAGCAAATATACCATGTAATTACTCAAGCATATTAGTTGGGGCACTCTGAGGCTTCTCTAAAAAAAAAAAAAAAAACAATCAAAATAACAGACACTGCTGGCCTAGGAATCATTTGTATAAACATGCCTTCAAACTGCGGTTTAGGAGACTCAGAACCCAGATGGACAGAGAACAGAGCCACTGACCATCTTTATTTGCTGATCTTTTGAAAACACTGGATCTGGCTGGACCAATGTCTCCTCATCTGAAGATAAAACCTTAGGAGTAAAATAAGCCACATAAAGTGCATGAAAACAACATCATTAAAGAAGAAAAATGTCATGTTATCCTAAAGACTCAAAGGAATAGGAAGCTTTTGAGAATGATTCACTGTGGAATCAGAAGAACATTTTAGCAACTTTTTGAGCACCCTCAAAGGCACTCTATGAAACAAGAGAAGAAAAATATATGGAGGAAAAACAGGCTAAGATAAGGGCTCAGTGTGTGGCTCAGTGGTAGACCACTTGCCCAGCATGTGTAAGGCCCTGGGTTCAATCCCCAGCACCACAAAAAGAAAACAAAAAAGAAACAGGCTAAAATAAAAGTGATGATTTTCAATTCCAATCTGGTAGTTTATCTACCTTTATCTCCCACCATCCATGGTAGTTACTTTACCCCCTTCCTCACTTGATTTACCCCCTCCCTCACTTGAATCCCTCCTATCTAGAAAATATATCAGAAACCTGTTTATTTCTCTTCCATCCAGCTGCCACAACCACCACCCCTCTACTGTCTGGATAATTTTTGTTTCCAACTAATCTTTATTTCCATTTTTGTTTTCAACCATTTTATTGTAAAATAAAACACATACACAGAAAACCACACAAAGCAATTTAGAGACTGGGAATTATTATAAAGCAAACACCCTGTAACCACGACCGAGGACAAGAAATCAGACTTTGTCGGCCACCCAAACGATGCCCCAGTGGTGCTCTGTCTGACCACGGCTCCTGCCTCCCTCTGAATTAGCTTGCTAGTGCAGCTATAACAAAATGCCATAGACAGAGATTTATTTCACACATTTTGGAGGCTGAAAATATGAGATAAGGAGTCAGCAGGTTTGGTTTCTTCCCAAGCCTTTCTCTTTGGCTTGCAGGTGGCAAACTTCTTGCTGTTTTTCTCATATGGTCATCCTTCTTCACGTGTCTGTGTTCTAACCTCCTTTTCTTATAAGGACACCAGTTCTATGGGATCAGGGACCACCCTAATGAACTTATTTCACCTTAATGATCTGTTTGAAGACCCTCCCGATCCAGTCACATTCTGATATACTAGGAGTTAGGACTTCATCATATGAATTCGGAGGGATTCAGCCCATAACACCCTCAAACATAATCACTATCCTGACTTTTATGGTAATCACTTCTTTGTGGTTTCATTAACCAAATTGCCAGAGTTTAATCTTCGCAATTTTTTGAAACTTGAAATTCCACTAAATCTCTTCTAGTTTATAGCCTTCTCTCCATTATTTATTTCCCTTATAATTTATTTGTAGAAGAACCTGGGTGGGCTGATATGCTTTCCAGAATTTTACAGGGTCTAGGTTTTCTTTTGCTTACTGTGCACTCATGGTACAGCTCAGCCTATTCTCTCCTCTGTATTTCCTAAAACTTGTCAGTTGGATCCAGCGACTTGAGCAACTCTTCGTTGCTGTGACAAAATACCTGAAGATAAAAAAAAAAAAAACCTTAGAGAAGGAAAGATTTATTTTGACTCACAGTTTCAGAGGTTTCAAACTGTAGTCTGTTGGCTCTATTTCTGTGGGCTTGTGGTGAGGCAGAGACTCATATTGGGGAGAATGTGGTGGAGCAGGGATACTTACTTCATGACAACCAGGAAGAAGGAGGGTGGAGGAGGAGGGAGGAGGAGGAGGAGGAGAGGGGAAAGAGGAGGAAAAGGAGGAGGAGGAGGAGGAGGAGGAGGAGAGGGGAAAGAGGAGGAAAAGGAGGAGGAGGAGGAGGAGGAGGAGGAGGAGGAGGAGGAGGAGAAGAAGAAGAAGAAGAAGAAGTTGTTGAAGAATAAGAAGAAAAAAGAGAGAGATCTCAAGGCATACCCCCAAGGACCCATCTTTTCAACTAGGTTCCACCTCCTACAATTCCCACCACCTCCCAACAATGCCATAAAATAATTATTTTACTCTTGAGGCAGAGCCCTAATGATACAATCACTTTCCAAAAGCCCCATCTCTGAACATTTCTGCTTTGGGGACCAAATCTTCAACACATGAGTTTTGAAGAAACATTCCATAACATTCTGCCAATTGCCCCTAAAGACTCATGTCCTTCTCATAATGAAAACTACATTTAGTGCATCTCCAAGAGTCCCCATAGTCTGATCCAAAAGTTCCCCAAAGTTCACATTTCCTCTGAAACTCAAGGGAACTCCTAGCTGTGAGTCTCGGTAAAAATCAAAGGGTATCACTTCTCGATCTTTGGGCTAACATCAAGTGTAGTATCTGTTCTTATCAGTTTAATATCTGATACATCCTCTATCTGAGGACGATATATATATATATATATATATATATATATATATATATATCTCAAAAGGCAAGTTACATAACTTCTATATACAATGGTGGGACAGGCACAAGGTAACCATTCCCATTCCAAAAGGGGGAATGGAGGAATAGAAAGGAAGGATTGGACCAAAGCAAGATTGGAACCCATAGAGTCAAATATTAAGTCCCACAGCTCTGAGCCTGTCACCCAGGGTCTATGGTGGTGAGATGGGAGCTCCAGAGGGCTTTGGCTTCTGCCCCTGTGGCCTTGACAACTGAAGCTCACATGGCTCTCTTGGGCTGGCTCTGCTCCCTGCCTGAAGCTCTTTCCTTTGTGAATGTTACCCATTTGGACATCTTTAACTACCTGGGGTCTTCGTCAAAACATCAGCTCTTCTTTCACAGCTTCGTGTATCACCCGTGTAAGGGGCTGCCCACAGGAACTTTGACCCTGCCACACCCCACCCAGGCTTTCTAGTGAAATCTCCGTGGAAACCTCCATGACCTCACTGCCCTTCATTCTTCATACCTGAGAAACCAGCACCATGTGGACAATACTAAGGTCTGTCAGCAGCAGGAGCAGTAGTCAGGCCCTCATGGACGGGACTGCAATGGCCTTTATGTACCTAGAGAATGAGCAGGCAAAAGAAAGTCTGAGGAACAACTTCCCAGGTAGCCATGTGGGAGTATGGAGTCTGGTATCGCCTCTCGACTTTTCCTTCATATTTTGTCTCTTTTGTTAAAAACCTTTGCCAAACCTAAGGTAATGATTTTCTGCTCTTACAAAAAAATTACTTTTTTAACTATTGTCTATCTTAAAATACAGTTTATATAGTAAAGGCAGTATGAATACTTGATTCTTTCATCAATTCTCAGTATTAACTCTGCTTTTAGATGCATATATTTTGGACAATCACAACTTTATATACCAAGTAAATAGGGGAAAAAATCTATGAGGAATTACAACAAAACACTCAAGTTATTTCTTTGATATTGGGATTCCTGAGTGTATGCGTGTGTATTTCCCGTCCTCCTCCCCTCTCTCCCCTTGAAGGATGCATATTAAACTGTTGACTATAGTTACATGTGGCTGGTGGAACTGTGCATGATTTTCTTCACTTCCTCTTATTTTTTTTTTCATTTTCTAGATTGTTCCATAATAAATCATGTTGTTGACCAAAGGAAAAACATACCTATATTTATACATACATGGTTCACATCTGTCTGTCTATTCATCCGTCATACTTCCCATGCTATGATTTGGATATGGTTTGTCCTCCAGGGGTTGATGTGCTAGAAGCGTGGTCCCCAATGTGGCATTATTAAGTGATGGAACTTTTAAGAGGTGGGGCCTAGTGGGAGAGGGGCCTTGGACAGCAGGCCCTCAGAAGGGATTAGTGTACTTCTTGCATGACCCCAGTTAGTTCCTGAGAGAGGGAGTTGTTACCAAAAGAGTAAGTCTGGCCCCCACATCTCTCTGACTTCCCGTCTTTCCCTGTAATCTCTTCTGCCCATACTCCTGCTGTTGATACCATCCATCATGAGGACCTCACCAGAGCCAGGCAGAAGCTGACACCACGCTGTTGAACCTCCAGAATTGTGAGCTAAATAAGCCTCTTTCTTTAAAACTGACCCAGCCTCTATTGTTTTATTTTTAATAGTGGCGGAAAGTGGACTAAGATTCCTTGTCTTCAAATTATTCTCATTCAAACTAGGAAATCTATATTGTGAGAAAGAAGTATTCCCTCTGAGAGAGTAAATTACTTTCCTAATACCCATATTGGTAAATGATGAGGTTTTGCTATATGTTAAGGCAAAACTGTAACATCCAGGGTACACATAGAGCGGAAGGTCTAGGATGGACGAGGAGTGCTGCATGGCCAGGGCTCATTAGGAATTGCTCTCCTTTAGGGCCATTCCAGACTCGGAACTCCCCTGTCACTGAACAAACATTCAATGTCGGTGTCCGCAACTGTCTGTATCAGTCTCCTAGCGCTGCTGTGATAAGTACTGCAGGCTGGGGGGCTTAAACTACAGGAATCTATTTTCGCACAGATCTGGAGACTCAAAGTCTGAGATCAGGCGTCAGCCAGGTTTGTTTTTCCTGAGGCCTCTGTCCTGGGTTTGTAGATGGCCATTCTTCTGTGTGCGTCTGTGTCCTAATCTCTTCTCATATGGAGACCAGCAAGTTGGATTAGGGTCCATCCTAATGACTTTTCACTTTAATTACTTCTGTAAAGACCCTGTCTCCAAACACACTTCCATTCTGAAGTCCTGGGGGTTAGGAATGTCACATACAAATTTGGAAGGACACGATTCAGCTCCTGACATTGCTCATTGCATATCCATCACATTTTTCCCTTGCAGAGACAATGGTACTTTAGCAGAAAGCAGATCTTCACCCCGGAAGTACCTCTGCCTGGGTCACTCATGCTTCCTCAGGAAGCCTGTAGAACTAATATGGACTCAAAATCTCTAATCCCAAACTTCCCAGTCACGACTGCTTGTTTCTGTGCAGTAGTGTTGATGAGGACATCTCCATCTTTGTCCGGGTGATTGCTGCTGTCAGTCTGCTCGTTTTGCTTATTTATCTCCATAATTCCCTACAACCCATTCCCTGTCCCCAACTCTGCCTGCTTAGTGGATGCTTGGATTATGGCTTCCTTCTTTCTCCTTTTCTTGAAGCTACACTTTAAACTCAAGATCTCAGGTCCTCATTCACCTGGCCTCAGAATAACACGAATCATTTCCCCCCCTTCCCTTCTTTTTCTCTGTGGCAAGAAAGCCAGGGATGCTGAACAGGCAGATTTTCAGCGAACGATGTATTGCGCTCTGGTTACTTTTAAATTCTACTTTTGAACGATAGAGAAGTTTCTCTGCCACCCCAGCTTGAGTGTTATCAACTTTTATTTGCATATAAGAAAACCTGGAGCAATTGTGAAAGAAAACAGGCAAATGAGATCAGGTTTGTTTACAGCAACTGCAGACAGAGCTCACGGTTTCCTTTCCACAAAAGGCCCAAATGCAGTTTTTGCCCGTGTTTGTAGGTGGTAATCTATGCATGGCTCTTTACATTGTCATCAGGCTGAAGGTTATGTATTTGGGGAACCTTCTGTAAGAAAGAGAATGAAAAAATATATTGCTTTTTGCCAGTGTTATGAAACATGCGAACTTGTGCATAAATTGCTAGCCTACCTCCCCCACTCCCACCCCACATGCACAGCACAGGCCCTCCGGGTCTGGGAGCAGGCAAAGCAAGCCAGAGACCCCAAAGCTTATGTTTCATTAACTTTGTAGTAAATATGCTCCTAATTATAATGAACTCCTTAGGTGTTTACTTGTTTATTGTTTGTCTCCCGTGCTGGAGCCGAAACCACAGTACGATATTCATCACATGCGTCCCATGTTCCTAGCACAGGGCTTGTCTATGGTAGACAGTCAATAAATATTCGTTAAATGAAATTAATTGCTGGAAGTTGGGAGAAAGAATGAATGATTTTGGCGACTGGTGTCCCATAAGTACCCAAATATAATTATGCTCACATAACATGGAGATGGCTGAGCTGTTCTAGGTGGTTAAGAAATATCCTCGGCTCTCACAATCCAAGGCAATGCAGATCATCTGGCCCAGGAATGGCTCCTCCCCAACCTCCTTCAGCAGCTGAGGCCCAGTTCTTTACCAAGAGTGCCACAGATAGCCTCCTAGGGTTCTGGAAGTCCTTAGCCCAAGGCCAGCAGCTGTGGGGACATTGGCCAGGTCCAGAGTCCGGTGACCTTTGGAAAGAACTTCAAGGCTTATTCTTTTATTATGCACTTGCCAGCGTAGACATGATAATCACTGACCTTTTCCTAAGGACGCTCTTGGAGCTGTCACTGGGACAAGACCCATGATAACCGTGGAGAAAAACCTACTTTCTCTCTGAGCTTCCAATTACCCCTGATATGCCATCACCAAATGCTTTGAGACAGAAGCCATCTGCAACAGCAGCAATTGGGCAGCAGTGATCTCTGGATAAATTCACAATGAAAACCCGGCATCTCTTTTTAAAAGCAGGGTCATCAGCAGACCTCATCTAGAGAACAGGGCAGCGATGTCTTTGTATGTCCCACACAGCCTTTGGTTCTTTGTGGCGACTCCAAACACATTGTTGAAATGTTAATATTACATTCCCACTTCTTTTTTTTTTTTTTTGTCTGCCTCAGACAACTTTGCTTTGATGCTTTCAGGATCTGGACGTGCGAGCTAGGGTTAGGACCTTAATCATGACATGATATTAGGCATATTTAGAAAAGCCAGAGTTATAAGATGAAGAAATGTAATAACAGGGATTTAGAGATTAAAGCAATTTGGGAGAGAGAATGCATACAAAAGTAACAGAAATGAAACTTGACGTGGATCTTGATGAAATATCGCAAGGCAAAAACAAGAATATGATAGGGGGCTCCTCCATTGTTCGGATAGGGAACCAGCCAGATGCTGGAACATGGCTTCTGCTACCTCAACCCCTGTGTTTAAACTCCACCTCTGGCTGTAGTAGAATATTCTTGGGCAATTCTCTTAGTTTATCTAAGCTTTCTTGGTCTGTTTAATGTTGCTATAACAGAATACCTGAGACTGGGTGATTAACAGAGTAAAGTGGTTTGACTCATGGTTCTGGAGACTGGGAAGTGCAACAGTGGGCAGTGTCTACTGAGAGGCACATGTTGCTTCAACTCATGGCAGAAAGCAGAAAGGCAAATGGGCATGTGTGTAAGAGAAAAAAAGGGACTGATGTTCCAGGATAGCCAACTCATTCCCATGAGAAAAGCATTATCATGGATGAGAACTCTGCCCCCACAACCCAACACCTCCCACTGTCCACACAGTGTCCACACAGTGTTGAAGACCAAACCCCAACATGAATTTTGGTGAGGAAAAATCATAGTGGGAGCCCTTATTTTCCCCACCTACAAAACAAAATTTGCTAATAAAATTACGTCCCTCATAGGGATGAGGCCTCAATGAGATCAAATGTGGACAGTGCTGACCTGTTCCTGGTCCTTAATCAGCACTCAACAAGGGCAGTGACCGGCCACCACTTGGCAACCACAGCACATTCAGAAGTGCCA